AGGTTGAACAGGAAGAGAATGTCAAAATTCAAGGTAAATATCAAAGCTCAGTACTCACATGAAGAAAACCCACCAGTTGCATTCAAAAAAGAAAATCCTTCTATTACTTCCATTATCATTCATCAATGAACTAACACCAAAAGTACAGAACAATTCCATAGCGGAATCAAAAAGAATTGAAATAGGACAATCCATAGCGGAACCCAAAAGAGGAATTGACGAAAAACATATCTTAGAAATGAACAGAAAGAAACTAAGATGATGTTCCGGATTTTATCGCCGGCTGCACCTGCTATGTGTCTGCTAGACTGCTATCCAATTCCCTTTCGTCGCTATCGCAGGAGGAAAATGAAGATAAAATTTGAGTTTGTGGAGCAAAAATGGGTTGGGTCAGGGGGAGAGACCTGATAGTAGAAGAAGGTTGGTGGACATTTCAGTTTCTTTGGTTCCATCGACAGGGAAAGATTATTATTTAAACAAAAATTAAAAAACTATTAGAAAGGAAAGAGAAAGGGCTCATGTCTCAACGCAGAAAGGAAACATAAAAAAGGGATTTTAAGTTTTAGTTTTAAATATTTTTTTAGTGCGGGATAAGTGGCGGGATTGGATTGGGAGGGTGCACCACATCACCCTGTCAATGTGGTACTCCCATCCCACCCAAGATTTTCTCGGATTAAGCAACTAAATTGGGCCTTACATGGGCTAACACGATAGCAGGCCGAGGCCAACTTTCCGAGATGGCAACATCTCTCCGTACCCTATATGGATTTGGAAGGGGTAGAAATCCGAAGTTGGCGTTGGAGTCGGCCGTCTGTCATCCCTTTATTAATTTCAATTCCTCACCGAAGTCTGAAGGAGCGGTAGAAATTAGAAATTGCAGCAGGGCGGGTGGAATTTGGATTGTTTAATTGTGTTTTAGGTGGAGATCGGTGGCCAATGAAGTCGTATATAGCTCAACTGAAATCATTCATCACTTATTAGTTATTCCAGCCTAACAATATTTTCTTTGATTTCACTAATAGTGTAGGCCAATCTTGCAATTTATAATATTAACAATTGATTTAAAACCAATTGTTTTTACCACTTTCGATTTTTTTGTTTAACTGGGAAAGCAATAACAAACCAAAAAATTTCACTTCGCTTGAAGATTTGCCCTCTGTTTAATTTTCAATTTCAAGTTCAAGAGGATACATTTATAAAAATTTTATTTTTGTGACTACGTGCCAATTTAACCGAAATGATATTCCACCTCTACATTTGTCATTTGGGCCTTTTAGGCACTTTTGAAATGGATGGTAGTGTGCCCTTCGGTTGGGATTGGGAAAGGGAGGGAGAGGGGACATTATCGTACAAATTAGTGAAATGGCGGGACGAATTATATTCATCTACGAATAAGGATGTCTGGGCTTGGCCTGTTGGCCGGGAAAGTTTAGCCGGAATAGTTCAGAAACACCAACACAAGGTTCCAAACTATGCATAATGTGCCACAATATAATAGAAAGAGTAGAAAATTTATATAACCTTAAATAGAATGCAACTAATGGTCTTTGTCTATTTATAATTGAGGTGTGCTATGTAAGTAAACCATATAGTTGATTATTGGAGTTGTTTCTCATGATACATATATAATCAACCTTTAGAATGTTGTTGTAGTGTTTTCCCCAATAGAAATCATTATTGTTGATTAGAACACGGGTGATGGATCTGAAGTTTTCAGGCTTTGAAGTATATAGTGCACGATTCAAAGTTTTCACTAACCTTATATCATAATGTGAAAATTGCCTTACAGCAATGTATAATTTTTCTTAGAATGTATATAAATAATGAGGATGTCTAAAAAAGACTACATAGAAGATAGGGCAATGCAAAGAATGAAGCATTAAAAATCTCTTACCATATTGGAAGAAGATAATCAAAATTAGTTTATTTCTCGAATTGAACAAATTATGTCACGTTTGTTGACAACTTCATAATGTTTCACTTTAGTCTTTGTTTTATTGCCCTTAGTATGGGAAAAGAAGTGAATATTCCAAAGATTATTGTTTGTGAATACTATTATATCTATATAGATCAAAATATTTACTTACAACTTTAACAAAGAGTGCAATCATGGGCGGATCTTGGAATTACACCAAGGGTATTCAATAATGAAACAAAAGTATCAAAGTCTGCCTCCACTAATTACACCAACACAGGTCTGCCCTGGATGCAATAGAAGATAATTCAAGTTAAAGTTGGAGGTCACAGAAGACATTAATTCCATCAGTTATTCGTTGTTCATTGTCATTAACTCCTAACTTTTCGTTGGCCGCTTTATCTCCTTCGATGAGTTCTATTCTATAACGTATTATAAACGCTTACAACACATACATAATAATCAAACTCTCCTGGCCAACCGGCCAGGCCCTGTGCTAGTATGAATGGAAGTTAAACTAAAGCGAAATAGCCTCGAGCTAGAATGCATTCCGGTAAACTAAATCGATCCATCCAGAATCGCTGATGACTCGAGTAATTTTGTCTCTAAAATTGCTAGATTGTCCAATGATCTTACATCCGATACACATCGAAACTTCAAACCGCTGGAGTTTTTGTACTTGATTTTTAGTCATAGTTTTTTTTTCTGCATAACTTTTTCAAATGTTCGATGATAACACAAACTGCCTATGCAGAATGGTCTGCGTTTTTGCCAAAAAGGCGCTCTGCTATCCCAAACGAATCGTTTCATAATTTCGCCAAACTTTGAATAGTAATAATTTTGTGCTTCGCAATCCGATCATTGTAAAATATCTTTCTGATTTTGCATAATCAAAGACTACAACTTTTGTTACAGAAGTATGTTCAGAATATATGCGGAAAGGTGAAAATCAAATAACTTTATATTCTCAAAATCCATTACATTCAAATACATTTTATCTTTAGGAATTGCTCGCCCTCGTAAAAGTTGTAATCCTTGAATGTTTATGCTTTTTTTTTTCAATGATCAAATTGTGGAGCATAAAGTTACGGTCGTTCAAAGTTTATTATAACAACAAGATGGCCCGTTTGAGAGAGCAAACAACATTTTTTTGTGACAGTGACATTCGAGTGTGGTTTGCTATGGTTCTAACGAATCAACACCTAGATCGCTGGACAATCCAACGTACCACGTCAAACTTATATATTTTGAGAATTTGTAGTGTAAATATGGCATTTGTAAAATTTTGTTTATATAAGTCTAGTATTTTGAGAGGAAAATGCTTACTTATGTGGGTAGTGGACGAGAATTTGCTGATTATGTTTTTTTTTTACGAGTACTCTGTGATCATGAGTGGGATGGGCGATGCCATAAGAGGATTGATTAACCACATTACTCAACGCGTCGAGTGAGGTCACTTTGAGTGTTTGACGAGGAGTATCATAATAAGAATATATGGAAGAAACTAACTTTGAGTTCTCTTTTTATAATGATTTTTTCACATATTTTTATAATCTTTAAGGAAACGAATAGTGAAAGAACGAGTCGAATTTTGGATGGATGAAAATATTAAATATTGTTGTTTGGAGATTATGTGAAAGAGTTTAATAATGGAAAAATGGCAAGTTTTTATCATTCTAATAAATAGTTTTACGTTTTTTTACTAAAAATATTTTATTGTATTCATGATCATTAAGATTAGTTGAAAAGAAATTTTACATTGTTTTAAAGCATTGATGTTTTAATGCATCCAAGTTTTATATTCACATTCGCAAATACTATGTTATTTATGCTCGTTTTGATCGGATCAACGATTTGTTGAGGGTTTGTGGCCACCTTAGTAAATCTCAACTCGAGGGGGTTCGAGATGGTTTGGTTAGAGGAAGAGTCAACGAATTGACATACTGACATACAGGACATGAATACATTTATAACACACAATACATCAAAAACTGCTTACAGTGTGACTGCTCCGTCGGATACAGACTACAGTACCAGAGTGAGCAGGGTTATTGTCGTTAACACGACATTCATCAGGGCATGAACTGAACTAGCTACATGGATTGGATTATCAACAAACATTTGCCGGAAAAAAATATGGATTTCGCTCTAAAGTTACTACTAGTAAACAACAAACCTTTCATGCCACGATCTTAAGGACTGCATTCGCTACAGCTTCGCTGGTTGGCAATGCAGGGATTGCACCTCTTTCCATCACAGTCAATGCACCACAAGCATTGGCAAACTTGAGAGCTTGAGACGCTAGCCTTCTCTTGCTGCAACAAGGCAATGGTCCGTCTAAGTTGATAGAGACGGGGCAAGCTCCCTGTTCCAAAGCGCTCCTTCAAGTCCGTCCAGATTTGTTGGGCGGTTTCAGCATACCGAACACTGACACGAACGTCTCTGCTCATGGAATTTTTGAGCCAGCCAACTACCATTGCATTGCATCTATCCCAAGCTTCAAGTTGCCAGCCAGCTGCTGGTCGAGGAAGAGTACCGTTGACGAAGATGAGTTTATTCTTCGCCAAAAGCGCTGTGCGCATATCAGCTGCCCACTCTCCATAATTCAGCTCCGTGAGCAGCTCGGCGACAAAGACCTGGCCTGGCTGATCGGAGGGATGGAGATAATAAGGCGATGACGGATCCGGTCCATCCTTGACGAGGACGGTTGACATTGAACCCGAATCCGCGACCTGCTTCTCCTTATCATCGCCCATATTGAACAATCAAGAACGTTGGATTCGAATCACAGCTCTGATACCATGAAGAAATCTAAATTGCGGAATTGATAACACGGGATTTTTACGTGGTATCACTGTTTTAGTTGAACAGGACTAATCCACGGTGAGCTCGTTGATATTATTGATGGTTTGTTTCTTCTCTAGCTTGCTTGCAACAATGATCCGCAGCTAAGCTTTTATAATGACTAGCTTAGGGCAAAGCCTAAGGACGGCCGAGTGCCTTTTTCATTGGCAAACTCAAGACCCAATACAACTATGACTCTTAATTCAAGTCCAACAATGACTCGGTTACTTGGGGACTAAGAAACAAGATTAGTATTAAATAAATTCCCAGACCCGACGGGATTAGTATTAAATAAATTCCCAGACCCGACTCCCGTCGCGTCTTACCCTTCCCCTGGTCCTCCTTTGCTCCGCCTGCAACTCCCGTTGCGCCCGCCTCCGCCTCTCGTCGACTCCCGCCATTCCCGGATTCCCCTGCTCCTCCTCTGGTCGGCCGGCAAGGGAACAAACTCAGAGGGTATGGCCGTATGAGACCATTCTCCTGCTCGGCCGCCATTCCCCTGTTTCTCCTCTTCGCCGTTACAACTCCTCCTCCACTTAGGGTTTCGGCTGCGGTTGCCACTGCCAAGAAGCCTTCCAAGGTCCGGAGATCGTGTCGCAGCCCATCAAGGACATCTCCTTCTTGCTGCGCTCTCTGAGGTATGGAGGATTCTTCTAGGCTTTTGTTTAGTTTTTGATTTGTTGAGTAAGCTATTTTGTCTCCCTCCCTAGTAGGAGAGGCTCCATGATGATTGCAAACAGCTGTTAGTTTTATGTGAAATACATGAGCCTATGAACATGCAAGGATTAATTATTAAACTCACCCGCGTCGCAAATTTATGGAAATCAGTAGGAAATTGTTCTTGTATTATGGTGAAGGTTCTATTCTATGTTTGAATACATATACATATTTGGAGGTTGATGTTTGATTTTTATTAAGTTGTTTGTTTTAAGCACCTTGACCTGATATTGCTGTTCCCTGTAATGTAATGACGTGCTAGGTCTTATGTTTTTCATCTTTCTTCTAGGGTGAGTTTGAGCAGGTTCTCCCCTCATTCAGTTTGCGCTCTTTTTGTCTTCTACCTTCGCAATGTCGTCTTCCTCCCCCAGCTCTCCAACTTCGACGGGAAATGCAGATTCGGAACAGGCGTACGGAGATACGAAGAAATTGCTCGAGCTTGCAGTCAGAATCTTGAGATCAGACCCTGAAGTGGAAAGACACTGTAACATGTATTTGTTTAAACTGCTGGAGGCGTTCCTAGATACATCTCTCGCGCAGTTGGCTTTTGATGAAGAATGCTACAAACTCAAGCATGATTTAGATATGGCGAAGCTGAATTCGTTGAAGAATCTTCTTGGAGTAACATTTGAGTACTCTTCCTCAAATTTTGAGCAAACTTTCAAAAATCTTAAGGTCAAGTATTGCTATACGCGCCTATTCCCTCTCAAGGAGTCCGAGAATTTCGACGTGAAGGCAACGAGTAGCAGTGCATCGAATAATGTAACAAGAAGCAGTGCATCGAAGAAGAAAGCATCGGCGGCAAGCAGTGCAACATCAAAGGAAACAGTACTTAAAGCCGGTCGGTTATTTCGTGCAATGCTCGCAACAAAGCGTAGTCCGAAAGGTGAATTTGATTGGCGTGCAATCGAAAAGCAGCACACCCAATTTATAGTTGATGCAAGATTGCCGGAGAATTTGAAGTACCCACCTCACAAATTGAGGGGTACGTGGGCCAATTATGCAAGCCGTGGTGGTGCTGGTCGTGTTCCTCCATCACTCAAGCATGAATACATAGAGTTAATGCAAGGAGAATCTGGTTCTGCTTTTGCGTCTCGTCGAAAGAAGTTAGCTTTAAGAAGAAGTTCAAGTGAACCAGCTCCTTTTATATCAGCGAAAGGTGATGCGACATATGATAAAGTGGTGGACACGACCTGCACCTTGGCATCTTTCGAAGATTTGGGGAGATACTATCAACTTGCCACTCATGCAGTCCACAAAGGACGAGTCAGATCAATAGATGTCGAGTATTCCAAGGTATATATCTTGATTATCTATCCCCTGTTTGAAAGTATGTATTAGTTTCTGATTGAGCTTTACGTTCTTTGTGTTTAGGACATTATTGCCACCGGAGGAGATGATTGTACCGCCGTACTGTTTGATTACTCTTCAAGAAAGGTCCGGTCAACACTTACTGGTCACTCAAAAAAGGTTACTACTGTCAAATTTGCGGTTGATGGTGAGGTGTTCTTGACGGGATCGGCTGATAAGGTATATGAACAGTTTTGGCCTCCCATTTATTAATCAGCAGTCTTGTTCTATTCGAATACACATGCTTCGGTCGTAGCACACCCTTGTACTTCACGTCATGTACATGATTTTTTTTCTACATTATTACAGACGATTCGTGTATGGGAGCGAACTGAAGATGAGAGCTATGTTTACAGACACACTTTTAAGAATCATATGGATGAGGTAGGTGATTATCGTTTCAGGGATCATAGGGATCAAAGTATAAAACCTAATAATGTCTCTATGACGAGTGACATTATGGTGTTGGCTGTTGCTAGCTCAGGGCTGAAATTCTTATGTTCATGTGCAGGTTCGAGCTATCACTGTCAATGCCGAATATGTTGTGTCTGCTTCTCTTGATGCTACATGGTGGCTCTACGATCTCTACGGCGACGATTCCGGGCCAAAGGCAATGTTTCTGGAACAACCCTTTTAATTCTGCCACTCAGTTACCATCATGAATGTCGCTGGATTTGTGATACATGTTTGTCACCCCGAATTTAGGGGGATTTTTGAATTTGGTTCTGCAGGTTAATACTACAGGTAGAGACGGTTCTTGGATTGGTGCAGGGTACACGGCTGCTGCCTTCCATCCTGAAGGTACCGTTCTTGGATTGGGCACTTGTGGAGGTATTGTCAAAATTTGGGATGTCCGAAAACAGGTACTAATGAGTAGTGGACTCAATGTTGTTAGAGTGTACTGGGATAGGTTGGCACCTAATTGATTGCATCAACCTTATTTCGTTTTCTGTTTTTTGATTGAAGGACCCAGTTGCCGAACTTGGTGGGCATGTCGAGGCAGTTACTGCCATGTCTTTCTCTGAAACCCATGCCTTCCTTGCTGTAAGTGTTCCTGCTCAATGAACTTGAAGAACATACCGAATCCCGATATTACTGTAGTTTTGTGGCAATGATCTGGTGCTATATCTACATGAATTGGACAGACTGCTGCAGAAGATGGCGTTAAGCTTTGGGATTGCCGCACATGGGAGCAACTCTGTATCCCCGATTTTATTGATGCAGATACACCAGCTAACTCCGGTATGTTTTGTCCTTTAAATGCTTGCTCATTAAGGTGGACTGTCTTCTCTTCTCTTTTGTTTTGTTTTTATTGCATGATCTCGACTTCTGGTGATGTACAGATTTAGTCCATTGATGAGAACTAATCTTGTGGTTGCAGTGACATTCGGCCACAGTTGCCCTTACTTGGGAGTTGCAACAAGCTCTGGCATAAGGTAGGACAGCTTCGTTGTTCTTTGTCCAGAACAAACGATCTGTTAATGTCTTCATGGATTCTTTGTGGATCTTTCTGCAATACGTGATTGTTTTGTTGTGTTTGGTAATTGGGATTGTGCAGAGTTTCAAACCCGACAGAAGATTGGAACTGCATCAAAACTCGTACCGTTTTATCTGATACAGGTTACTTGCTTCTGCTGCATTGTCTCAAAAGCTGTCCAGTTTTGAAGAGGGGTGGTGTATTGACTGGTTTTGGATTCTGAATTTACCTGCAGGGAGAGTATCATGTGTGGGATTTGGTCAATATGCGAAATACCTTGCCGTGGGATCAATGGACGGCGAGCTGCTTTTGTATGGGCTCCCTGATGAGGAAGCAAGGCCAGAGTGTTTGGAAACAACTGGTGTGAGAGGGTAGCCAGCCAGTCCTTTTAGCCTTCTGAATTTGTGGATGATGATATTCTGTTCTATGCTGTGTTCTTTTTTTTTTTTTGGCGAAGATATTCCGAATCGGAACGATAGATACGAATAATCCAAAGTAAAAGTATAAGGACGATAGTAGATTATAAAATGAGTTATCGATAAGAGAGTTTTTTATGCCATGAGATGGACAGCTCTTTAGCACCTGAATGTAGGGGTGGGCATTGGTGCGGTTTAAACCGCACCGCACCGCATGTTAATTGAACCGCAGCGCATGTTCGTCCGCAATGTAATCGGTGCGGTCAAGCCGAATCGCATTAATTAGCGGTTTGGTGCGGTTTGACCGCATCGACCGCAATTCATTAAATATTATTCATTCATATCTCATGCGAATCCATAGAGTTAGAAGGAGGGACTACAGACGATGACCGGTGTCCATTTCTCCTCCATCGCAGCTTCATCAGAGACCTTGCCGGTGAGTTTTCCGGTGGCTCTGCTTATGTGATTCCGATCTTCATCCCTGCCACTTTTTTTTTTCCTGTTCTTGTATTATGGACTTAAGGTGTGCTGCTGAGCATTCTGAACATATTCGGATGAAGAACTGCTGCTTGGATTGATTTTGCTATTTAATAACGACGATGATAACTTAATTCATGATAATGAAATCTCAAATGGTAGTGGCGGAAATTAATCATTCATTCATTCTTTGATTTATCCAAATTGAGCTATTAGCTTTTCCACAGTTGGTTTATTGCTTTGTCACCACCACAACCAAGTCGATTCCTCATCATCCCACCGATTATTTATGCTCTGTTTTCTGGGTTCCAGACGAGAACAGAGGCTTGACTCTGTCTGGTTTCTTTCTTGTGACATTTGGCCAATTTAACACTTTATAGATGCATCGTATATTATGCCAGGCATATACTACATTTACAACATATATTATCTTTAAACAAATATGTATGTAAGTCCACCGAAATCCCAAACATATATATAAGTTCACTTAAGAGAAAAGAAAGATATTAACTTTCCGTCAATTCTATTTTACTGTTTTGGTTAATTCAAAAGTAATTAAGTACATTACAAATTAAGGAAATAAAAAGTGGATAACTCACCAATAATAATCCGCCATATGGACGGTTGGAGGGAGTGGCTCCAACCTCGGTTGGAGGTAAAAAAATTCCGGCGATTCCCAAACATTACACCATGGTCAGTGAATTCATTTGCGGTTTGCGGTTTTGGACCGCAACCGCGCGGTTTCGGATTAAACCGACCGCAAACCGCAAGCCGCACAAAAATCAAACCGCATATTAGACCGCAAGAGTTGCGGTGCGGTTTGGCTCGACCGCAAAAGCGGTTCGGTGCGATCCGGTGCGGATTGACCGCACCAATGCCCACCCCTACCTGAATGACAATAATGTCATAATTCTTGTTGAAATGAATCCATGGTCCATGGAACCTTTTCTTAATAAATCGATCCAATAGGTCCTCCTGTAGTTGTAGATTGGTGGGAGCGGGGCGTAGTTCATCAAGTGCATTAAAACTTATCTTTTGCTCATGGAAAAACATGTTACTTGAAGCGATACCTGCACAATAAACAAACCAATGTCCACCAGTTCTGGCAATCCTTATATTATGACAATGCGACCAAACTAATTTGTTAGCCAACATGCACTCTAGTGACTACCAATGCATTGGATTAGGAAATCAACTAAGGGTGTGTTTGGATACAATGATCTTTTGGATTTGGTATTTGTAATTTGGATTTCCAAATATCAAATCATGTGTTTGGATATTGATTACATTTGGTATTTGAATTTATATCAAATTCATGGGGTGATTTCCAAATACATGTTTAGTGTATTTTTTGTCAACTTCAAATACATTTCAACAACTAGTGATTTGAAATACCTCCTAACAAAAGATTCGGCCTATTTGTAGAATATTAAAAGTTTAGGTACTATAGTGTGAGACAAAATATATAAAGGTACCAAAACATAATTTTACCATCAAAATTTCAGGACCTTTTTGTAAAATTTAAAAGTTTAGGTAATAAATTGTAAGAAAAAATAATTTTGGGTACCAAACTGTAATTTTGCCAAATTTGTAGAAAGTGACAAGAAAATTGAAAATTAAAATAAAAAATTTTAAAATTCAAAATACAACGAATTTGAATTACATGTATTTCAAATGCTAATATTTCAAATGCTAGTATTTCAAATACCTTACATTTGAAATACACTTATCCAAACGCAACGCCCCATCTGCACCCTTTTTTCTTTACTGCCCACTCTTTCTTTCATCAAAATCTTCCCCTTAGGCTAACTCCAATGCAGTCTCTATAAATGGGGAAAAGTTGGCTCCAATGGAGTCTCTATATTTGGTGAAGATGTGCAAAAAGATCCCCAAATTAGGGAATGTAAATGGGGAGGGGTGTGCTAGTGGGCAAGACAACCGACAGCCCGCCACATGACTTTTCTTTTTTCCTTTTAAGATTTTAGTGGTTAATTGGGGTTTAAATAGAAGATTAATTAGGAGTTTAATTAGATCAATAATTTTAAAAGTGTTGTGTGTAGACCCAAATTAGATCAATAATTTTTTGTAAAAAAAAAATTGGTATTGAAATTAAAAAATTCAACCGGAAAATTTGTATTTAAAAATGATGACGAACTATACAAAAATTAACATGAACAAATTGTATTAAGATTATCATAAGTTCGTGAATGGTAAATTTAAGAATCATCCTCACAAATTCTCTCGTTTGGCAAGAGTAGGTTGAGCTGCGGAAATCCTAGGTTTTCCGGGTGGTGTCTTAAGGCGGTGCCTGAGATCATTGTTGAAGACGTATCTTACAAGTAGAAGGAATCTTTTCCAGTTAGGAAGGACGACCTAGTCGATTTGCGTAGTCTATAAAGCCTTAATTTTTAAGGTTTTGCTAGACCATAATTGAAGACGTGTTTAGGGTTTTGGCTCAAGAGGACAATCCTCTTGCCGATAACTTTGATCACAAACAACTGATATCTAAGAGCGAAGGATTCAACAATCATGGAGATTGGAGAGTCTGAAAGGGAGCAAGCGGAGCTCAAAAGTATTGCTGAGAGTCTGGAAGTGTAACTCGATAAGATAACGTTGGAGGATGAGGACAACACTCCACTTGAGGTGGAGGATGGGGATGTTGACGTGTTTCGCATGGAAGCAGTACGCCGGTTGGGCTTGATAGGACACCTAGTAGCTGAAAAACAACCAAACATCAAGTCACTCAAAATTACCTTAGCAAAAGCATGGAATATGAAGAAAGCTTTCAGGTAACAGATATGGGAGACATGTTGTTCGCATTTCAATTTCTAGATGCTAATGATCGTGATAGGGTTTGTTTTGGAGGCCCTTGGCATTATGAAAACAATGCCATGGTGTTCATGGCAAGTCTGTTGATTAAAAAACCAGTCCATGAGGCATTGCACATGTTGGATATGTGGACTCAAATAAAGGAATTCCCAGCGGAGCTTAGAACAAAGACAATGGCAGAGAAAATTGCCAATAGATTTGGATCTCTGGTCTGGTTTGATGACAGTCCTAGATCAATGTGGGACTCATATATGCTCATAAGGGTGAGTTTGTATATTCATAACCCTCCGAAGAAGAAGATCAAGCTCAACATTAAAGGGAAATTGGTGGAGTACATGGTGAAATATGAAAAGTTACCTATCTTTTGTTACTCCTGCGGAAGAATTGGACATCCAAAGCTGTGATGCCCTAAACCATATGGAGTAGAGCCAGATCCGTTTGGCATGGATTTGAGAGTTGGGGCGCCAGGACCTAGGAACTGGCTGTCTCATTCATTGAAAAAAAGAAGATGCAGAAACATGGGCATCACTGAGAAAGAAATTTGATTGGAAAGCACCGAATCAAACTCTGATCATGAAACGCCACCAGCAGAGGAAGTGGCAAAAAAAGAACAGATTGCAAACAAGGCTGACAGTGAAAAGGAGATTGCCATGAGAAAGAACAAAGAGCCTAATCCGGCTGAAGAACAGATGGTTGAAGAATATCAACCACATAAGCAAGAGATCAGAAGCAAACTACCTCCCTCGAACCAACCCATGGGACTAGGGGATGTGGGAGGAGCACTATATCAGTTTGTGATGGGAGCAGATCTCAATGAAACAGGGCAGAATCAGAGGAATAATGTCTGGCGAAGAAAAGAACAGATTAAGCAGCGTGTACATGTACCTGCCCCTCCCCAAGTGACGCCACAGAAGAGAACAAAACAGAATGGTGGGGACGAGGGACATCAGGGTAATGACAAAGATCTACAGGCCTAGAAGGCAAAAATTTTGAACTTCTCAGCACCAGATGAGCATGTTCAAGCAGATAACATAATAAATAACAAGGATGGCGAAGTGGCGGACTCTGCTAGGGAGTAGAGCCGCCCAGCTCAATGAGTCTTTTGAGCTACAACTTTCGGGGTCTCGGGAATACCCCAGAAGTTGAAAAGTTTAAGATGTTACTACGTCAAACAAATCCTGATGTTGTGTTCTTGATGGAAACAAGGCAATACGAGGAAGAATGGAAGAGGAAGATTAAAGAATTTGGGTATTTCAAAGGAAAAGGAGTGGCTGCTGGGGAAACAGAGTTGGAGGGCTCCTGTTGATGTGGAAGGAGGAAGTATTCTTGGAAATAAAGGGGGTGAGACAATCACTATATTGATGCCAAGATTAAAATACCGAACAACAACACAGAATGGAGGTCCACAGGGGTATATGGATGGCCAGAAGCACGTAATAAAAAGAGGACGTGTGAATTACTCGAGAGATTGCACCAGTAGGTTCAGCTTCCCTGGCTGGTAATGGGGGATTTCAACCTCATTACATACTATTTAGAAAAGAGTGGAACGTGTGTGCCAGATGCAAAAGAAATGGAAACGTTTAGAGACACACTGGATCACTACAACTTGGAAGATTGTGGCTACTATGGTAGGACGTTCACATGGGAGAATAATCGAGCAGACGAAGACTACACTGAGGAAAGAATAGATAAAGCTGTTGGAAATCAAGAGTGGAGGGATTGTTATCCTAACATGTGCGTATTCCATTTAGAGAGGTGTGGATCGGATAACATAC